TAACTTCTAACAATATAGAGACACATACACCTAGTATTTAACAAGGTTCTACTGTCTTAGTACTATAATCCAGGTTTTCCTTCACAACAAAGACCCCTACTATCTCTACTAGAACTTATCAACTCTGAACTAGAATACAAAGTAGAGTACATAATAGATACTAAGTTATTATACAGAAAACTCAAATTTCTTATTTACTAGAAAGGGTACCCAGTTAAGGAGCACACTTAGGAACCTACTAAGAACCTTACCTACACTCCTAAGACAATCTAAGATTTCTATTAGCTTCATTCTAGTACTCTGTACAAACTCAGTCTTACAGATTTCCAAGCCCTACTATTCTAACCTATACCTAAGCTACTAACTAAGCCTAATGTTTACTAATCAGAATGATTAGTTTTAGAGGAGGGGTAATGTTACAGTTCTCTACTCTTATACCTTTAGTTCTAAGGGTTCTACACTCTTCTGTACTAGAACTCAGGACTTCTGTCCCTTAGAGGTACTGTTTATAGACTATATACATACTAACTCTTACTACTACCCTTCCTTACTTTATCATTCTATTCCTTTAACTACTCCTTCATTCTTTGTTCATTTTATAGTCTCTTACCCTTTGTCTATCCCTTCATTCTTTGTACCTTTATCTTTAATCTTCCCTTCTTTCATTCTTCATAGTTTATCATTCTTAGTAGCTCATACTCTCTAAGTGCTCTTGTATAGTTTAGTATATATAGGTGTACAAGATCAGACTGGTCCTGTAGTCTTAATCTTGTTTACTCTAGATAGTCCTGTACTCTTAGGCTTACTCTATATACTCTACCTTGTCTCACTCTCTCTCTCTCTCCACCTGTTCTGTAAGTTCTAACTATGTTCTAGTACTTGTGTTCTGTATTTCTGTTGTGTAGGATAGTTGTAGCCTGGGTCCTCTTGCTAAGCCTTCAGGTCCCCTCTATACTGTTACTGACAGAAGGATTTGACATTGTTTCTAAAACTAGCTCTAATAAATTAACTTCTAAAGCACTAAATACTTTTTCAAATACTTGAGTAAGCTCTAAAACATTTGGGTCTTTATTAGAGGCTAGTATGAATGATTATAAACAATGTTTAAGTCCTA